CGGTTGTGGAGAGGGATAAAATAGCTATAACTTAGAACAATAAATTTAAATATTCTGTTAAGTATAAAACTTAAAGCAACCACTTTTTTATATCAAAAGAACTTATCTTTAGTCAACATATTTTGTACATATGGTAATAAGTGGATTACTATTTATCAGATATCGTGGAATAAAGTCTCTCATCATTTCGCTCGTTTTCAGTGTCTTCATTGATAAGTTGATAAATTGCGCTTCTTTTCGACGTTTACATCAAAACCTTTAAAATAAGATATGACTAAACAGCATTTACCGAAAAAACAAGCTTTTGGATATAAGATATTATTAAGATGGCCATGTAGGTCATATGTGGGAATGGTTCAAAAAAGCAAACCCCATTGTCGAGCATTCAACATACCTACTAGATAACACGCATATTTTTATTCCTGAGATTAATAAAATAACGTTTACATAATAGGTTACCTCCTTAAGAAGTGTTTATATGGGATATTTAGCTGACGAACTTCTCTGTATATTCGCTTTTTCCAAGATAATGTCACAGAGAAATTGGAGACTTCTGACGATTTCTTTGATTTACCTGAAGATAAACAATTCAGTTTGACTGAAGATGAAAGAACGTACTTTTCTCTTTAGAACATATTATTTTCTACTTAAGGAGATTTATTCCACGATCCGCTTGAAGCTTGCGAATGAAAAAAAAAACAGGTCACAAATATGACCATTTTTTGAAATACTTATTATTCTTCTGTCTGTTCCGTTACTAAATAACACATAAGCTGGACGTGCAGTTAACGAAATTGTATATTTCTACATGACTTACATTCAATAAGGCCTCCTTCACATCACTTCACTTATTATTGCACTTCATGACACAAAACTTAACAGAATAGCAAAATTATTTTTTCAAGCTTAAAGTGTTACTTGTTTCTGAAAATACATGCGATTCCTTAAAGTCGGCTTCGCTTCCATTTTATCAAATTCCCTCTCCGGTGTTGGCGTAAAACGACGCGGTTGTCTGTGCGGTCTCCATGTGGTGACTTGTTTCGGCCAAATTGAGTGTCTGCACCGAATATGGATAGGGAAAATCGTTTCACTTGTTTATGGGCTGGGGGCCCATGAACCATGACTCGAGTAATTCTCGGCTCACCCGACTGCCACCTCTTGCGGGAAGTTCAGCCTAATCAAATTTAAATATGTATCCAAGTCTCGTTGAGTGAGCCGCAACTTGACAATTGGCATCATTTCGCCACACTGCTGCCGCGTTTTCGGCAATTCGCGTCTTGAGAAGTCTGCCAGTTTCTCCGGCATGTTTGCTTTGCCTGTAGACGACTCTGGATGTTTCTAGCCATGGCAGTGGGTTTTTCGGTTTCATTATCTGATGCCTTATGGTTGCCTCCGGCCTGTGTGCGACTGCGAATTCAAAGTGTTGAGAGAAGGCTGCCGACAGCTTCCAGTGCTTTTTGACGAACGGGATCACCCGCCAAATGTTGTGGTCGGTGCGACTTTGTTGGCCATCTCGTTTGCGCAAGCACCGGTTGACAATCTTGCACGGACAGCCATTGTCTCTGAACACCCGTCGAAAGTATTGTACCTCGGAAACTTTATCTTCCGGTTGGCTGCAGTGCGTCTTAACACGCCGATAGAGCATCCTTACGCAACAGCGTTTGTGGCTGATTGGGTGGTTGCTGTTATAATTCCTTACTTACATCTTGTTTGTCGCCTTCCTAAATACTTTAGTCTTTAGGTCACCACAATCTTTGCCACAGATGAAGACATAAAGGAAGGCCAGCTGGGTGTTCTTTTCCTCCTCCATCGTAAAATGGATTTCCGGGAAGACGCTGTTGAAAAGTTACGTAAACATGAACAGCTGATTCCGTTCGATGACGACGAAGGTGTCACCAGGCGAATAATAATATTGAGTCTTCTTCTTCTCTATAAGGGGAGCATTGTTTACTTGCGTAACTGCTGACTCAGGCACTAGTTATTCGTGGCCTTCATGGTACTTCTACTCCGTGGAATCTGCTTCAAGCTGAGCTGCACTGAAGACCTGCGCCCGATTCCGGTCACAATCTTTTTAATTCTGTCTTGGTACCGGACACGGGTGGATGGGGGAAGATTGAGTGTTATGGATGCAGCGTAAGTCCACTATCACTAAAGACTAATCCACGCGCACGTCACTGGCCCTGCTCCACCCCGCGGTGGAGCACACTTTGGGCCTCGTCGAAATCAGCGGTTCAACTGTCGTCCATCAATTCGAAACACTACAACTGAATCCTAAAGGGCACTCGCTTAGGTCAGAATTATGGGCTGCGTTGCCTACCTATCACAATTTCAAATTAGATGTTAACTCCTGACCGGTTTGCATACATGACTGGTCCTGGTCCTGCATGCAAATGCAAACAAGGCGCGCTTTTTGGATTTTGAGTAATTTTTTAACCGCGCGACGTGTGTATGCGCGGGCTTACGCTCCAGTGGATCACATCTTTCGTAGGATTTAGCCAATTGGAACTCTTGTTTTATTCGACAGTGGCGAAAGGACTCGTAGCGACGCATGAAGCGCCCCCAATTTTTGCTGTGGTTTTCTGGTTGTGATGGCCCACACTTCGTCGGTCTGTGCCCTACTTAACACCCGGCCCAGTGGGGAACAGAGAATGAAGTTGATGCAGTACATGTCTATTCTCACTACCATCCAGGACGGGTCTACATCCCTGTACCTATCTGCTGAGGAGGACACAGTGGACGTCATCGAAAATAATGATCGGAATTTTGTGTGTGTAGTCGTTTTCAATGTTGTCCACCCTGGCGATGACCGGCTGGTGCCCGATCTTATTGAGCGAACACTTTGCCTTTATCTGCCTCCTCTTTCTTCCACTCTCCTACTTAGGCCCGGCGTCTAGAAAGACTGAAGAGAGCGCAGATCAAACTGTCTTTTCCCAAGGGACCAGGCCTTGCTGTGGCACGTGCAGACGGGTTCGTCGGCCGTGTCAGGTACTTC